CCACGACCCGTTTTTTCGCCCCACAGTGAGGTGGTGGCCCATTTTGGTGCCCCGAGGCATGGCGGTGCCCCATTTTCGTGCCCCGAGGCGCAGCGGCAGCCCGTTTTCGCACCCTGTGGTGCGTCCTGATTTTGCGCCCCGTGGCCGTGGCACTAGCGCTGGGATAGGCAACCTTGGCTCTTTGATGACTTGTGGGCTTCAACTCCCAGAATTCCTGAGCCGGCCACGCTGAGGGGAAAGGGAGAGGTTTCCAAGCTGAGCCATGCTGGCTCAGGAATTCTGGGAGTTGAAGTCCACGAGCCATGAGGGGGCCATAGTTCCCCTCATGCTGGCTGAGGAATTCTGGGAGTTGAAGTCCACAAGTCATGAGGGGGCCATAGTTCCCCCATGCTGGCTGAGGAATTCTGGGAGTTGAAGTCCACGAGTCATAAAAGAGCCAAGGTTGCCTACCCCTGCACTAGCGCAAGCGAGGGTGTGTGCGCGCACATGCACACACACTGGCCAGCCTGTCCCGCGGCCCAGTGGCTAGTAGGCCACGGCCCACTCCCTGTCCGTTGCCCGAAGGTTGGGGATCCCTGTTGTACACTGCAATGTCTAAAAAAAGTCATCCTTGATATTTTTAGCACTCCTCACAAACCTCTCCGCTCAATCGGAGTTTTCCCTTCATGATATCAGCCTACAGTTCAGGCTTCACTTTTGGTACAGTATTGCTCTTTTCGCGAATGGACTCTTGGTAGTTTCTGATCTTGACTAAGTTCTTGTAAAGGTATATATTGTATGTTTTTTGGCTTTCTCTCCCCCTTTTCCCCCTTCACATGACCTCCTTGCCATGTACACTTTGGGTCATCTTCTTCAGAAGTTCCCACCTGTTCAGAGTGTCTTATTTCTATCACCTTTCCTTGCTGTGGATTTATTTTGGGGGCATTTAGAGCTGTCCAAACAGACTCCGATAATGGGAAATACATGCCGCTCGGAGCTGAAATGAGGGGCCCTTGGTGTTCTCTGAGAATAATATAATAATAATAATAATAATAATAATAATAATAATAATAATAATAATAATAATAATAATAATAATAATTAATAATGTTGGAAGGGATTTTGAAGTCCATCTAGTCCAACCCCCTGCTCAGGCAGGAAACCCTATACTATTTCAGAAAAATGGCTGTCCAGTCTCTTCTTAAAAACTTCCAGTGTTGGAGCATTCACCGCTTCTGGAGGCAGGTTGTTCCACTGGTTAATTGTTCTAACTGTCAGGAAGTTCCTCCTTAGTTCTAGGTTGCTTCTCTCCTTGATTAGTTTCCATCCGTTGCTTCTTGTCCTGCCTTCAGGCGCTTTGGAGAAGAGCTTGACTCCCTCTTCTTTGGGGCAGCCCCTGAGACATTAGAATACTGCTATCATGTCCCCCCTCATCCTTCTTTTGGTTGTCTTCTGGCAGACGTTTTATTATCCAAAACTAGGTAATGTGATGATAACAATAAGATATGTGGCATTGATGATGTTGCCTAGTTGGGTAATGAAATGTCTGTCAGAAAAGCACTAAGCTCAGAGAGGGCCGAGGACTCGCCTAATAGAGCAGCTAACCCTTATTGATTATTGTTGTGAATTTATTTTAAAAAATCACTTTTGATTTTTCTTGTCTTTTTTCTTTCTGTGGTTCAGGACCTATGTTCAATTATTCTGACTTCCCTGGATTTTAAGGGAAGAACTCTAGCATTACAATGTTGGGAGGGTTTTTCAGCCACAGGCCCAATTTGTCGGTTCTGACTGGCAGCCTTGAGTTGTTTTGGGACGGTTTTGGGAGGGTGAAATCTCCCTTCAGTCAAAAGTTGATACTGAGCCGTGCAGGTTTTTTTGGCAACGCCCCTGTCTTCAAAGTTGAAACTTTTTCCAGCTTTCTGGCAGAAACTTTTGAATTCTGAGTCAGATTTTGGAAGTGTTTCAAACTCAGAACCACCCAAACTGAGAGCAACGCGTGAGGAAAGAAGGACTGCGGTGATAGGATAACTGTCTTAACAGAAGAACAGAGTTGAAAGAGATCTTGGAGGTCTTCTAGTCTAACCCCCTGCTCAGGCAGGAGACCCTGTACCATTTCAGACAAATGGCTGTCCAATCTTTTCTTAAAAATGTCCGGTGTTGGAGCATTCACAACTTCTGGAAGCAAGGAGTTCCACTGGTTAATTGTCCACACTCTTTGGAAGTTTCTCCTTAGTTCTGGGTTGCTTCTCTCCTTGATCAGTTTCCACCTGTTGCTTCTTGTCCTGCCTTGAGACGCTTTGGAGACTAGCTTGACTCCCTCTTCTTTGGGGCAGCCCCTGAGATATTGGAACACTGCTATCATGTCCCCCCTCGTCCTTCTCTTCGTTAAACCAGACATACCCAATTCCAGCAACCGTTCCTTATATGTTCTGGCCTCCAGTCCCCTAATCATCTTTGTTGCTCTTCTCCGTACTCTTTCTAGAGTCTCAACATCTTTTTTATATCATGGTGACCAAAACTGGATGCCGTATTCCAAGTGTGGCCTTACCAAGGCCTTGTAAAGTGGTATTAACACTTCACGTGATCTTGATTCTATCCCTCTGTTCATGCAGCCTAGCACTGTGTTGGCCTTTTTGGCAGCTGCAGCACACGGCTGGCTCCTATTTAAGTGATTGTCCACTAGGACTCCGAGGTCCCTCTCACAGTTACTACTATTGAGCAAGGTACCCCCTATAACAGTGATGGCGAACCTTTTAGAAACTGAGTGCCCAAACTGCAACCCAAAACCCACTTATGTATCGTCGGGTGCCAGGTGGGTGTGGCCCATTGGCTGGGCATGGCTGCGGTGGTAACGGCAGACTGGGTGGGACTAAAAAGTTCAATCAATCAATTCCAACTTTGCGAGATCTTTTTTTATTTATTTATTTATTTATAATAAATAATAAATAATAAATAAATAAATAATAAATAAAAAGTTCAATCAATCAATTCCAACTTTGCGAGATCTTTTTTCCCCTGAGAAGTTGAAATTGATTGATTGAATTTTTTTTTTTTGCACATGGTGGAGGCCTAAAGTTGAAAGGTTGTATAAAACCCAGCTGAAGGCCTAGGACTGGGGCGATGGTGCGAATGCCCACAGAGAAGGCTCTGCGTGCCGTCTCTGGCACGCGTGCCATAGGTTTGCCACCATGGACCTATACTATACCTGTGTCTTCCAGTGCTTAAGGGGCTGCCCCAAAGAAGAGGGAGTCAAGCTATTCTCCAAAGCGCCTGAGAGCAGGACAAGAAGCAACAGATGGAAACTAATCAAGGAGAGAAGCAACCTAGACCTAAAGAGCAAAAAAAAAAAAAGAGTATTTTTTCACATTTAATGACCATTGCATCATTTCCCCATGATCACACTATCAAAATTCGGACGCTTGGCAACTGACTCATATTTATGACGGTTGCAGCACCCTAGGGTCATGTGATCCCCTTTTGCCACTGGCTGACAAGCAAAGGCCATATTTTACTTTACAGCCGTGCTACTAACTTAACAACTGCAGTGATTCATGTAACAACTGTGACCCAAAAAAAAAAAAGGTCATACAATCAGGCGCAACTCACTCAGTAGCTACTTTGCTTAGCAGTGAACTGCCGTAAGTGGAGGACCGGAGAAGCCCTTTTCCCCACATCTAGCTAAGTGCCATTTTTTTTGCAACTTTGCCTGCTTGCTGCTAAACTGCTCGGAGGTTTTTCATGCAGTGATGGTAACCCCAGGTGCTGTTTTTCTTCCAAGAACATCTGGGGGAATCGGAAAAGATTGTCCTGTTCCCACACTGGATAATGTCCTTGCATAAACTAAAAACGGCGAAACAGGAGCTACGCAATCCTTTGTGTTCCTGTCCTGACAAACCTGTTCTTAATCTGTACATTCTGTAAAAAAAAACAAAAACATATTTTTTTGTATTAGGGATTCCAATCCGGAGAATTATATGTGCTGTTTGTATCGGAATCGTTGTTCAGACATGACTCATCCCAAAGAAAGTTTTATTTCTAAGGCCAAATTCTGCTCAGTTCTGGATACCCCATTTTAACATGAATATGTATGTATGTATGTATGTAGTGCAGCATTAAAGTGCAATATTAGGGGCAGCGCAATGGTGAATAGAATGTGAAGGATGTGTGTATATCATGTATGTTCTTATTTGTGGTTTTTACTTGTGTGTAGTGTGCAATGTGGACAGCACTTAATTTTGTCGTGAGTTACACAATGACAATAAAGATATTTTATTTTATTCTAGTCTATATTCTGCTCTATTCTATTCTGTTCTATTCAATTCTAGTCTAGTCTTCCATTCCTTATTCTTTCTATTCTCTTCTCTTCTCAATAAAGATTCTATTCTACTCTACTCTACTCTACTCTACTCTACTCTACTCTACTCTACTGTATTCCATTCCATTCTATTCTATTCTATTCTATTCTATTCTATTCTATTCTCAATAAAGATTCTACTCTACTCCACTCCACTCCACTCTCTTATGTTCTACTCTACTCTACTCTACTCTACTCTACTCTACTCTATTCTATTCTTATTTATCTATGATTGTAAGCCAATTTTTAGATGGATGACCAATACATTTTAAAAATAAATATACAGGTAGTCCTTAGGGGATCACATGACCCCCCCAGGATACTGCAACTGTCATAAATATGAACCAATTGCCAAACATCTGATGTGATCTCATGACGACCAAAACTGGATGCAATATTCCAAGTATGGTCTTGCTTATCGGAAGCCAGCTAAGACGGTCACACCACTTAGCAACAGAGTTTCCGGTCCCAATTATGGCCGTTAAGCAAGATCTACCTGCATACCGTCCACTTCCCTTTTCAGCTCTCAGGCAGGTATAAAACCTGTATGATTCTCGCGTGACGCCATTTAGCCGCGATATTGGGCTGGTTCCTGCTTGAATGTGGTCGATCTTTCGTTCAGCCTCCAACTTTTTATTGATTTTTGTCTCCCTCTTTTTTTTTCCAGATTGACGACATCGTTGATGGGGCTGTGAAGCCTCCCCCCAACAAATACCCCATCTTCTTTTTCGGCACCCACGAGACGTAAGTGCCCCCTTTGGGAGGTTCCTGTGGGTGAGTTGGGGGCATAAGCAGTGTGGGATTACCATCCCTTTCTCTCCAAACCCTTCCGTTTCTTCTTTGCTCTGTCCGTATCCTGCAGGGCATTTTTGGGCCCCAAGGACCTCTTCCCTTATGAGAAGTACAAGGACAAATACGGGAAGCCCAACAAAAGGAAAGGTTTCAATGAAGGATTGTGGGAAATCCAGAACAACCCTCACGCCAGCTACAGCGCACCTCCAGTGAGTCTGACGTCAGGGGGCCTGTTCCTGCAGCAGAAGAGAATCTTTGTAGCAAAGGGCTGAACTGCTGGATATTCTGGCTGGGGAATTCTGGGAACTGATACCCACTTCCTAGCCAGGGAATTCTGGGAATTGAAGCCCACTTCCGAGCCAGGGAATTCTGGGAGTTGAAAGTCTAAACACCCCAGCTAGAGAATTCTGGAGGTTGAAGCCCACTTCTGAGCCAGGGAATAACAGGAGTTGAAGCCTACTTCCGAGCCAGGGAATTCTGGGAGTTGAGGTCCAAACGTCCCAGCTGGGGAATTCTGGGAGTCGAAGGCCACACATGCTGGTTGGGGGATTCTGGAAGTCCACAGGTGCTGCTTGAGGAATTCTGGGAGTAGAAGTCCGCCCACTTTGAAGTTGCCAAGTTTGGAAAAACCTTGCACGAGACTTCCAGCGGCTGTCATGAATCTGCTTCTCATTTGCCAGCCTCTTGACTCTGCATTCCTCAATTAAATTGGAGTCGTGTTCAGAGGCCTCCCACTGTTTCAGTCACTGCTCTCCTTTTGTCCCTTTCTCTCCTTCCCTACCCGAATAGCCATTGAGCTCCTCCGACAGCGAAGTTGGCGATGTCGACCCCGTCGCGGGAGGAGGGGGAGGAGGAAGCGACGTTCCCGGGGAGGAAGGCTCGACCCCGACCACGGGGGTCGGCGCAGCAGGGATGACCGTGGAGAAGGCGGAGAGCGACGAGTCGGACAAAGCAAGCGATCACAGCAGCGTGAAAAGGAAACCGTTAGCCATGAAAGTGAGCAAATTTCCGGATGGTGCCGATTGGGAGCAGCACCGCTGTTGGTTCTCGGCCTTTTTTTTTTTAACATCTTGACCCCAGGCCAAACCTGAATTGTGGTTGAGAACTTGGAAGCTAGTCAGGTCTGGATGGGGATGAACGAGAGCTTCATCCTGGCAACACAAAGAGCAGGTAGTCCTTAACAACCGTTCGTTTAACAACCATTCGAAATGACTGTGGCGCTGAAAGAAGCGTTTTGCCACAGGTCCTCGCACTTATGACCGTCGCAGTGTCCCCACAGTCCTGTGGTCAAAACCTGGCATCCCTCATGTAGCCCACTCTCGCCCTTTGCAACTTTCCCAGCCAGCTTCGAACAAGCGAAGTCAATGGGGGGGGGGAAACAATAATCAAATTACGAGCGACTCACTTAAGCAGCGATGGGTGGTTCCGATCCCAATTGCGGTCGTAAGCTGAGGACTACTTGTCGCTCCGTGTCTTTAAAACCGTCCGCGTTCAGGGAAGGTCCGTTTTGAATTCTGGAGGGAAGGGCCATACTTCCCCAAGGAGGCTCATTTTATAATTGGGGAGGGGGGGGGGCTGGTATTAGGCCAGGGGTCTTCAACCTTGGCCCTTTTAGGATTCGTGGACTTCAACTCCCAGAATTCCTCAGCCACGCACGCTGGCTGAGGAATTCTGGGAGTTGAAGTCCACGAGTCCTAAAAGGGCCAAGGTTGAAGACCCCTGTATTAGGCCTTTGCTCATCTCCAACCTGGAACCAGGCATCTTGCTGGCCATCCCCTCGCACCCTGGTCATCTCTTGGATAGACTACTGTAAAGGCACTCTACATGGGACGGTCCTTGAAGATTGGCTGGAAGCTCCAGCTGGTCCAGGAGGCCAGGCTTCTTAGGCAGTTATGGGTGCCAGCTGGTTCACCCATTGTAATTCTTATTGTTTACTAGCTGTCCCTGGCCACGCGTTGCTGTGGCTCCGTCTGATAAAAGCGTGTGTTGCTTTTACGTCCAACAGATGGCGCTATTTTTCAAAAAAAGTACGTTTTTACCTGTCACAGGTGTGACATCTATATAATAGTAGGTCTATAAAAACACGCGCGTATTCGAATGCAACGTTGTGTCAAAATTTCAAAGCAATCGGTGAAGAACTTTCGGAGATTTAAGATTTTGAACAAACGAACGTTTACATTTTTATTTATATAGATATAGATTTGCTTTCTTCGTCAAAACGAAAATGGCAAATTCAAACGAGCAAGATGACAAAAAGAAATTAAAATCTGACGGGGACGATAGGCCCGTCAGTGCATTTACGCACCCTGCACCCCCTTAGGAACGTCTTAAATATGGGGCGAGGCCCGCAGAAGTTAAGTTAGATTTAAAACGCTGGAAGTTAATACCACAGACAAGCGAATCGGGTAAGATATTCCAGACTTTGACAATTTTGTTACAAAAATAGTATATATATTTTTAAAGCTGCTTAATTCTGCTGCTTGGAGAACTGCCCAGAGGTTTTGCCTCTGGGTGCAATTCGAGATGCTGGTTTATCACCTTGAATGCCCTTTAGGATGACTGACAATTTTGCCGATCTGTTAAAATTTTGGAGCAGGGGTCTTCAAACTTGTCAACTTTAAGACTTGTGGACTTCAACTCCCAGAATTCTGGGAGTTGAAGTCCACAAGTCTTAAAGTTGACAAGTTTGAAGACCCCTGATCTGGAAAAAGAGATTTTCTTCACCCACGGAAGCCTCAAATCATCTCTAGCCCCACAAGTAAGGCCTCCCCAGATGCTGAATGCCCTTTTCTGGAATACATTCCCCTGGAGATGGGCTGCGTCTCTGGACTCCTTGAATTTTCCAAAACATGAACATCTTTGCTTTGGGAATTGCGATGCCTTTTTGATCCTCCCGCGGTGGGAATATTTGTTTGGGACTGACTGTCCCCAGTGGCGCCTTGGAGGAATTTTAATTATGTATTTTGACGCGCTTTGTTTCAAGCTGATTCCTGCACGGAGTTAAGTACATCACGCAGAATTGATCGCGATTGGACTGGCATATACAGAGAGTCCTCAACTTCACAACTGCTCGGTTGGTGAACAAACCGACTAATGTTTTTTTCACACTTACGACCGTTGCTGCATCCCCACGGTCAGGTAGTCAAAATTCGGATGCTTGGCCACCGGTTCCTATTTACGACGGTCGCCGTATCCCGGGGTCACGTAATCCCCTTTTGCGACCTTCTGACCCGCCAAACCAATGGGGGAAGCCCAGATTCACTTAACAACCGTGTTGCTAACTTAACAACTGCAGCGATTCTCTTAACGACTGTGGATAGGTCGTTAAATGGAAGGTTGTTAAATGGGGCAAAATTCACATCTCTCTTGCTTAGCCGTGGAAATTTTGGGCTCCCTTGTGGTCGTAAGCCGAGGACTACCAGTATGCCATATCAGGGCTTTTCAACTTTTTCACCCATTGTACCACTTTTAGGATACGGCAACATACGAGTACCACCAGTCGCCTAGCAAGGGGTCAAAAACTTGATGACCAAAAAAAAAAGGGGGGGGAAGTGATAAAGTACAGGTAGTCCTCGACTTACAACAGTTCGTTTAGTAACTGTTCGAAGTTACAATGGCACTGAAAAAAGTGCCCCCCAAGCCACAGCCGTGCAAGACACCTGCCTGCCCGTCCGGCGGTGCTCTTCCTCCTGTCCGAGGTTTTCATTGTGAGCATTTCTGTTGAGGATTGGCAGGGGGGGTGGGGTGGGGGGGTGTTTGGTTTTTATTCCCCCCGTCTGCTGGGTGGTTGCAGCAGGTTTTGGTCACTTCACATGACCCTGGGACACTGACCGTCATAAATATGAATCAGTTGCCAAGCATCTGAATGTAAATCACAAGACCCTGGAGATGCTGCAACATTCCAGCTGATCGGCGCTTCTTCTGGGCTCAGCAGAAGCACCAGGATCAGTGTCGAGCTCCAGCTGGATCCTGGCACTGATCCTGGCACTTCCGCTGAGCCCTGACAGCCCTGCAGCTCCAGCCGTCTCTCGCTCAGGCGTGTGTGGTGCTGCCACCGGTTCAGCTCATTCCCCTCCCCCGCTACCACTTTTCTAGGATGGTCGCGTACCACCTGCCAGGTGCCAATGTACCACAGGTGGTACCCGTACCACTGGTTGAAAAGCCCTGTGCCATATCATTAGTACTTCTGTCTTGGGCTCTGCTGGGACTAGGTCCACTTGGTAACGGGTAGTTCTCAACTTACGACCCCAATTTAAAAAGTCTCAAGTGGCGATCGTATGACCCTTTTGCAAATTCATGCCAAGCGCCCTAATTTTGATCGCATGGCTGTGGGGATGCCGGAAAGGTCATCGGCGCGAGGGCCGACGATCAGTCACTTTGTCCGGTGCATTTGTAACTTTGGGCGGTCGCTAAACGAAGGATTGTAAGTCGTGGACTACCTATAAATCTTTCATCCTTACCGCTTGCTGTAGAGGGACGATCGAGAGCATCCTGTCATACGGCATCACTGTCTGGTTTGGAAGCATCCCTGCTTCGGACAGGAAGGGGGTGCAGAGAGTGGTGAGGACAGCAGAAAAGATTATTGGCAGTTCATTCCCTTCTATCCTGGACGTGGCATAGAAGCTTGAGCAGGGTCCGCAGGATTGTCTGGGGACGCTACACATTCTCTCCACATTGTCTATGGGGTCGCGATGGGTCAGACACGACTTCGCAACTAACAACAAGAAGTCGAGGGCTTCCTGGATATGGTACAAAGGGGACTCGCAGGAGTCTTCTCCAGCACCAGAATTCAAAGGCCTCCATTCTTTGGCGGTCAGCCTTTCTTATGGTCCAACTTTCACAGTCATACATTGCAGCTGGGAAAACCATGGCCTCGACTTAGGTCCACGCAGTTGAGCCCAGAATTTCTGCTGCTAAATGAAACATTCGCCCCATTTTACGACCTTTTCCTGCCGCACAGTTGTTAAGGGAGCCGCTGCAGTTGTTAACTCAGTCACACGGTTGTTAAATGAATCCGGCTTCCCCAGGGACTTTGCTTGGCAGAAGGTCACCAAAGGGGATCACATCACACACACACACACACACACACGCCCCCCGGGACACTGTCACCGTCGTAAATATGAGTCAGTTGCCAAGCATCCGAATGTAAAACACGGGGACGACGGGGTTAATGCAAAGGTCGTAAGTGTGAAAAAATGGTCGTAAGTTGCTTTTTTCAGTGCCGTTGTAACTTTGAACATCCTCTAAGCGAACTGTTGTAAGTCAAGGACTACGTGAATATGTGCATGTATGTGTGTTTGTACGTGTATGTACGTTTGTGTGTATATATACACACACACACACACACACACACACATGTAAGTGCAGCCCAGGTTCAAATCTAAGAAGGGTGTAGCTGGCTGATGAGAGCTAAGGAGCTCGAAACAGCTATATCAGCTTCCCTTTAACTCTTTGTTAGCAATCCAAATTTAACACACACATATATGTATGTATGTATTCTTTTGAGAGCAAACATCAGAATTTCATTTTTTAACGTGTGCCAGTGTGTTCACAGAAAAAAGTGGCATTAAAGCTTATCGTAAATAAAATAAAATGAAAGGAATAAATTAGGCCATCTCTGATGCAGCGTCCAGATTTTAATTCCTTTTCTCCTCTCCTAGATGCCGGTAGCGAAACGACCCAGGAAATCTTCAAGTGACCTTGAGCAGGCCAGCCCCTCTCCTTCGGAGGAGAACTCCGAAAGCTCGTCTGAATCGGAAAAGTACAGTGACCAGGTGGGGTTTATGTGGATAGAGCCTTTACTTTGTGATCTGTGGAGTTATTTTAGAGAAGGTGGAGGGACCATAATATGAGTGGGAGCTGTTGTATTTTCCCACCCACCCCACCCCCAAGCTTTGAGACACGTTTTTCCTCTCTCTTATATAAAAGTCATTCTTGCCTGAGCAGGAGATTGGACTAGATGACCTCCAAGGTCCCTTCCAATTTTATTACTATTATTATTATTATTACTCTAAGGAGAACTAAATTCCCTGACAGTGCGAACAATTAATCAGTGGAACAGCTTGCCTCCAGAAGTTGTGAATGCTCCAACACTGGAGAAACCAAACTGGAGAAATTTTGGGGAGAAAACCCCTGCAGTTGGAATTGGTACATTCCAACGTGACTAATTTTTTTTTAAAAAAATTTTTTTGACTGATTACTTGGATGAGTAATGAAACGTTTCTGATTAACAAACTTTGGTCCAGTTGCCAGGATTTTAACTTTTTTGAGATATCCATCGTTGGAGGTTTTTAAGAAGAGACTGACGTTGGTCAGAAATGGCACAGGGACTTGGGTTGGACTAGATGACCTCCAAGGTCCCTTCCAGCCCTAAGATTCTATCATTTCGGCTGTGTTCAGTATGGATCCATGCTGGTAATTGTAATAATTGGAAGAAATTATTTAGTCATTCAAAAACAGTTTATAGGGGTGAAAGGAAGTCTGCGAACCTTTTATATCAGGGGTGGGCAATTAATTTTCCAAAGGGGGTCCCATGAGAAACTGGGACTGTTGGGGAAGGCCGAACCAACCAGGCTGTGCAATTGTGTAGGCACGCACACCTGCACATAACGTATATTGAAAATTAGCAGTCTCCTTCAAAATAAGAACAATGCAGTTGTATTGCGTCCGTGACATATACTTTATATTTGATTTCTAATTTCTGATGGACCTCATGCAAATGGCTGTCCAGTCTCTTCTTAAAAACTTCCAGTGTTGGAGCATTCACCGCTTCTGGAGGCAGATTGTTCCACTGATTAATTGTTCTAACTGTCAAGAAGTTTCTCCTTAGTTCTCGGTTGCTTCTCTCCTTGATTAGTTTCCATCCGTTGCTTCTTGTCCTGCAAATAGCTTGACTCCCTCTTCTTTGGGGCAGCCCCTGAGATATTGGAATATTGCTATCATGTCCCCCCTCGTCCTTCTCTTCATTAGACTGGACATTTGACACAGCATCCCCACAGTTACGTGATCAGAATTTGGGCACTTGGCAACTGGCATGTATTTACGATGGTTGCTGTGTCCAGGGTGTGTGTGTCATGTGATCACCTTTTGCAACCTCCCCAGCCAGCATCCGACAAGCAGAATCAATTGGGGGGGGAGCCTGATTGGCTTAATGACCTCATGATTCAACAATTGCTGTGAGTGGCTTAACCGTGACAAAATCGGGTGCAACACGCTTAACCCCGGCCTTGCTTAGCAACAGAAATCCTGGCCCCCAGTTTGCCGTCGTAAGTCGTGGACTACCTGTATGTTTGAAAGAGGGAATGAAGTCTCCTCTGCCCGTCCTTAATGTTTGGGGGGGGGAATATTTAGGAACCGAGGGGGCTTCAACGTCCTATTCCGTGTCTCCCGATGTAGGACTTCACTCCAGAGAAGAAACCGCCTCCGAGGGCTTCGCGACGGGCACCCGCTGGAGGATGGAAGAAAAAGGTAAAGAGGATTTTTTTCAAATCTCTTCCTTAGAGAAGTTTTATCAATTATCTCTGGAAATCCAGGCTCGGTTTAGACTCTGTGACTTTGTAACCAACATCAGAAACAAAACTGTAGGAGGAGTAACACAAGCAGGGGTCGGGGTCAAGAGAGGGATCAGCCTGCAATCCCTACGTAGCCACAAGCGAACGAAGTCCAATCTCCCTTTAATTCCATTGACCCGTATCTAACTCCTGCCAGGTTTTCACAAAAGTCAGACCTACCCCGAAAATAAGCCCTAGCTTGATTTTGGGAGGTGGGCCCAAAAGAGAGGCACTTGCGCTCCCCCCCCCCTCTCTCTCTCTGTGTATGTGTGTAAAAAACAGAGTGGCCTCACGCAGTTCTCCAACGAGCTCACAAGCTTATTGGGTGGGGTTCCTGCCTTGGCTGCGTCTCTGCAGGAAGCAGGAAGGGCAGGAGAGAGCCAGCCTAATAAGAATGTGTGTCAGCTTGTTGGAGAACAGCATGAAGCCAGCTTGCCAGGTGAGCAGAAGATCAGAGAGAGGGAGAGAGAGGAGGAGGAGAGAGAGAGGGGGGAGAGGAGAGAGAAAGGGAGAGGAAAGAGAGGGAGAGGGGAGAGAGAGAGAGGGAGAGAGAAAAAGAGGGAGAGGAAAGAGGGAGAGAGAGAGAGAGAGAAAAAAAGAGGGAGAGGAAAAAGAGGGAGAGGAAAGAGGGAGATGAAAGAGGGGGGTAGAGAAAGAGAGAGAGAAAAAGAGAGGAAAGAGAGAGAGAAAACTCATGCACTTTATTTCTTTTTAATTAAACTCTTCAATCAAGCTCCCTATCCCTTGGGTGCGCGCGTGCGCACACAAGTTTTCCCCCTCTCAGTGTTTTCTCTGGGAAACGGGTCCAAGTGGCTCTTTGAGTGTTTAAGGTTGCAGACCCCTGCCCTACCCCCAAAATAAGCCCCAGATTTGCAGCGAGGCGCACGACTAAACATCAAGCTAGTGTGGCCGGGTGCTGCCCCACGCGTCCCGCCCCCACTCCCCGTTGCAGCCTGCCTCTCCTCGCCGGCCCGCTTCTTCTGCGGCGTCACCCGGCCGGCATTTCGCAGTCAGAGGCCTTTCCGGAAGGCCAGGGGACGCTGCAGTAAAAGTGTGCCGGCTGGGCGGGGCTGTTGTTGCCGAATATGAGTGGAAAAGACCCTAACCACCACCACCACCCCCTCTTTTGGAGGGAAAAAATAAAAATAAAACTGGGTCTTACTTTCAGGAAATCACAGTAGCAGGTGCTAAGATGAACTGAGAAGATTCGAGTGGATAGGTATTTTAGCAATAAATCAGTTTAATGGGATTTTCACTTGTGGAGCTGAACTTTGGCGCCTGCTGACACCCATCTGGCTGCTTAGCCTCCCATCCAATGTGTTGGTCTTGTGCTGGATTAAACCACGGTTTCTTCAGGTTGCCAAGGGTGAGGAACATTGGCCTGGACAAGGCCCAACTCTTTAGAATCCCCTAGGTCAGGGGTAGGCAACCTTGGCCCCTTCATGACTTCTGGACTTCAACTCCCAGAATTCCTGAGCCGGCATGGCTCAGCTTGGAAACCTCTCCCTTTCCCCTCAGCATGGCTGGCTCAGGAATTCTGGGAGTTGAAGTCCACGAGTCATAAAAGAGCCCAGGTTGCCTACCCCTGGCCTAGGTTCACCTCCAATCAATTCTTCTTCGGGACATCGTCGGTTGCGCCTAGCGCAGGCTGTCCTCAACTTACATCGGATCTACCTATTTATTGCATTTTAACAATAAAGCAGTTTAATTGGACCTTGACGTGTCGAATTGATCTTTCACATCTAACTGGGACACACATTGTCTTTAATATATAGGTAGGGCTCAACTTACAACCACATACGGGATCGGAGCATTCGTCGTTAAGCAGTGTGTTTGTTAAGGGCTGCAGCTGATTGCCTCTTTTTTTTTTGCCCATGGTCGTTAAGCGAGACATCCCCTGACTTGCGAATTCCCCTGCTGGCCTCCCCATTGGCTTTGATTGGTCGGAAGGCAGCCTCTGCATTGACTTTGGTCGGAAGGCAGCCTCCCCATTGACTTTGATTGGTCGGAAGGCAGCCGGCAAGTGACGAACCCAGGAAGCTGCACCCGTTGTAAATTCACGCCGGGTGCCAAGCGCCTGAATCAGGATCGCAAGACTGTGGGGCTACTGCGAGAACGGCTTACAACCGTTCATTTAGTGCCCTGTCAACGTGACAACAGCACTGGAAAAAAGTGACATACGGCCGCTTTTCACTCTTACGACCGTCGCGGCATCGCCACGGTCACGTGTTCAAAATTCGGACGCTTGGCAACTCGTCTTTGTGACGGTCGCAGCGTCCCGGGATCACGTGATCCCTTTTTGCGACCTTCTGACAAGCCAAGTCAACGGGGGAAGCCAGATTCGCTTAACGACCTAACGTAACAACTACAGCGGCTCGCTTAACAGCTGTGGCCAGAAAGGTGGCAGAACGGGGCAAAATTCACTTAGCCGCTGTCTCGCTTAGCGACAGAAATTTGGGGCTCCCTTGTGGTCGTAAGGCGAGGACTTCCTGTGAAGTTGTCGATTCGGGGGGCAACTCACTTTAGCGACCACCTAGCTTAGCGATGGAAGTTCTGGTCCCAACGGTGGCCGTTGTAAGTTGAGGGCTGCCTGTACATCAGGCCGTCGATCAGAGTTCCTGTGCGGCAGAGAGGCGCCCCCTGCTTCGTTAGATCTGGGAGAGGCAGGCTTGGTTTTCGGGGGGAAGGTCATTGTGCGGGACGGAAGGGCCCTGATCCGCCGCCTCTGGCGTGGCTAAGCGTGCTTTTTGTGTGAGCAGAAAATCGAGTCGGCCTCCGACTCGGAGAGCAAGGCAGACTCCGAGGAGGAGGAGGAGGAGGACAATGACCGAGAGGGCAGCCGGGCCCCCACTCCCAAGTCCGACTCTGACTCCAACTCGGATGAATCCGTCAAGAAGCCCCCCCGGGGAAGGAAGGCAGGTAAGGAGCCCGGATTGGCTGCCAGAGCTGGGCTGATCGTGGGTAGTTTTTATCTTGGGCAATGGTGCCTCTCCCTTCCTCCCTCTTTTCCTTCCTTCCTTCCTTCCTTCCTTCCTTCCTTTCCATCTCTCCCTCCCTCCCTTTATTTTCCTTTCTTTCATTCTATTCCTTCCTTCCTCCCTTTCCCCATTCTTTCCTTTCATTCTTCCTTCGTTCCCTCTTTCCCTTCCTTCCATCCCTCCGTCCCTTCCATTATTTCCTTTCCTTCTTTCTTTCCCTTCCCTTCCTTCCATTCCTCCTTTTCCCCCTTCCTTCCTTCCTTCCTTCCTTCCTTTCCTCCCTCCCTTTATTTTCTTTTCATTCTCTTCCTTCCTTCCTCCCTTTCCCCCTTCTTTCCTTTCATTCTTCCTTCCTTCCCTCATCCCTTCTTCCTTCCCTCCTTCCTTCCTTCCCTTCCTTCCATCTCTCTGTCCCTTCCTTCATTATTTCCTTTCATTCTTTTCCTTCCTTCCTTCCTTCCTTCCTTCCTTCCTTCCTTCCTTCCCTCTCTCCCTCCCTGCCTCCCTTTATTTTCCTTTCTATCATTCTATTCCTTCCTCCCTCCCTTTCCCCATTCTTTCCTTTCATTCTTCCTTCGTTCCCTCTTTCCCTTCCTTCCATCCCTCTGTCCCTTCCATTATTTCCTTTCATTCTTTCCTTCCTTCCATTCCTCCTTTCCCCCCTTCCTTCCTTCCTTCCTTCCTTCCTTCATTATTTCCTTTCATTCTTTCTTTTCCTTCCTTCCCTTCCTCCTTTTCCCCTTCCCTTCCTTCCTTCCTTCCTTCTCTCCCTGTCTCCCTTTATTTTCCTTTCTATCATTCTATCCTTCCTCCCTCCCTTTCCCCCTTCTTTCCTTTCATTCTTCCTTCCCTCTTTCCCTTCCTTCCATCCCTCCGTCCCTTCCATGATTTCCTTTCACTTTCTTTTCCTTCCTTTCCTTCCTTCCATTCCTCCTTTTCTCCTTTCCTTCCTTCCTTCCTTCTCTCTCCCTTCCTTGCTTCCTCCCCTCCCTCCCTCCCCCCATCTCCATCTGAGACACATCTTCTTCCACACTAGCCTTCTAGGGTGGGGGTTGGGGGGGGTACCTGGATTCAGGAACAGCTGCACTTCAAGATGCCTCTTTCCAAACCAACCCCCCTCCTTCCCTCCCTCCTCCCCAGCTGCCGAGAAGCCTCCCCCCAAGCCCCGTGGCCGGAAGCCTAAACTCGAGAGACTTCCCAGCAGCTCCAGCAGCGACAGGTAAGAGTCGTAGACTTTGTGCGTCCCCTCCCTCCCTCCCTCCCTCCCTCGGGTCTGGCCAGGAGCCCCATCAGGACGGCACCTTCCATAGTCCCGGGAGGTTTTTTTGGAGGGGGGGGTTGCGAGCTAAACTTCCAGGCGAGCAAAGAGCTGACATTCCCCCCCATGCCTCGGACTCTTCCTCCCGCCTCTCTCTTTGGCCCCCCCTCCCAGCAGCGACAGCGACGTGGACCGGATTAGCGAGTGGAAACGGCGGGACGAGGAGCGCCGGCGAGAGCTGGAGGAGAAGCGGAAGCGTGAGCAGGAGCAGGAGCTGCGCCGGCTGCGGGAGCAGGAGCGGGAGGAGAAGGAGCGGAAGCGGGAGAAGGCCGAGAAGGGGGAGGCGGAGGCGGCGGAGAGCGAGAGCAGCGCGGACAGCGAAGCCCCCAGGAGGAGCAAGAAGGGGCAGCACAAGGCAGCCCCCTCTTCCTCGGACTCTGAGGCAGAGAAAGAGGTGAACTTGAGGGGTGGGTGGGTGGGGGACACCCAGGGGGTCTGGGCGACACTTTCCAGGGTCCTTTTCTTAGCCAGAGCTTCGGTTCTGGAGCCGCCACAGCACAGAAAGGTTCTGGCAGGTTGTTGGTGCACGGGCTTGTATTTTGAGAGCTAGTGTGGTATAGCCAGGGAGTTCTAGTCCCGCCTTAGGCGTGAAAGCCAGCTGGGTGACTTTGGGCCAATCGCTAGGAGACGGTGAGTTCTAGTCCCACCTTAGGCATGAAAGCCATCTGGGTGACTTTGGGCCAATCACCAGGAGAGAGTGAGTTCTAGTCCCGCCTTAGCCGTGAAAGCCAGCTGGGTGACTTTGGGCCAATCACCAGGAGATGGTGAGTTCTAGTTCTGCCTTAGGCATGGAAGGCAACTGGGTGACTTCGGGCCAATCACAGGGAGATGGTGAGTTCTAGTCCCGCCTTCGGCATGAAAGCCATCTGGGTGACTTTGGGCCAATCACCAGGCGACGGTGAGTTCTAGTCCCGCCTTAGGCATGAAAGCCATCTGGGTGACTTTGGGCCAATCACCAGGAGAGAGTGAGTTCTAGTCCCGCCTTAGGCATGAAAGCCATCTGGGTACTTTGGGCCAATCACTAGGAGACGGTGAGTTCTAGTTTCACCTGAGGCATGAAAGCCAGCTGGATGACTTTGGGCCAATCACCAGGAATGAGTTCTAATCCTGCCTTAGGCGTGAGAGCCATCTGGATGACTTTGGGCCAATCACCAGGAGATGGTGAGTTCTAGTCCCGCCTTAGGTGTGAAAGCCAGCTGGGTGCCTTTGGTCCAATCACCAGGAGATGGTGAGTTCTAGTCCCGCCTTAGACATGAAAGCCATCTGGGTGACTTTGGGCCAATCACCAGGAGAGAGTGAGTTCTAGTCCCGCCTTAGGCGTGAAAGCCATTTGGGTGACTTTGGGCCAATCACCAGGAGAGAGTGAGTTCTAGTTCCGCCTTAGGCATGAAACCCAGCTGCAGTTGTTAAGTTATTAAGACAGTTATTAAGTGAATCTGGCTTCCCCACTGACTTTGCTTGTCAGAAGGTTGCAAAAGGGGATCACGTGACCTCAGGACACTGCAACCGTCATAAGTACATGTCAGTTGCCAAGTTTCCTAATTCTGATCACGTGACCACCAGGATGCTGCGACGGTCGTGTGAAAAACAGTCACAAGTCACTTTTTTCAGTGCCGTTGTAACTTTGAACAGTCGTTAAACGAACTGTTGTAAGTCGAGGACTACCTATACTCGCCTTGCTTTTCGGCTGCCAAAATCAGGATGTCACATCTCCGCAGTTTTACTCCTTTACACCTTTGCAACGCCTGCTTTCTTCGGATTGAATGTTATCTGCTTGAATTAATTAAATTAAGTCAGTTCTTCCATTTGATCAGCTTCCGTTTTCTATTTCAAGCGTGCTGCCAAGAAAAGATGGAATGCTGATGGAGTTCGTGTATTTTATTTATATATTTACTTATTAAATGGATTTGATGTCTTATCTCGCTTCCAACAACTCTGGGCAGTTTATTGCATAGGAAACATGAAAAAAAAAAACACTAAAATTGTCGAGTCTAAAATGACAGAAGAGAGAGCAGAATTGCTACTGATAGAATGTCATGGTTCCAACAGATGAAACTCTTCAAAAGAATCTTTATTTTGAGTAGCATAATATCGGCACTGCATAATCGAAGCCAAAAACTGATTCCCCCCCCGCACATAGTATCAAAGCACAATTCCCTCCTCCAATTAACAGTCATAAATCACATTCCCCAATTAGCTTGAAGGTGGGCTTCCTCTCCAGTTCTTCAGCTGCCAATTTTTTATCAGCTCTGGTTACAATAACCTTGATTCTCACGCTAGGTTTAGTGTTGTTATGTCTAGCTAGATTCTCGTTCACATCCCCCCCCTCCCAGCATCATCTAACTCTAAAAGCAAAAGGGAAAAAGATGGCTACATTTCCCTCTGTTGTCAAAGCAAAAACATCTGATGTTAGCAGCGTTGACATCCGCCCCCCTTACAAAAAGGATAAATCCTGTAAAATAAACAAAAGCACAGGTTAGGGATTTCCCTCTCGATTTGTTAAGGTGTTTCTTATAGCCCAGCATGTCTGCAAAGAGCGCCAGGATTTCAACCAGTGACAATCTTTGGATCAAATTTGTTGTTCTCTGCTTGTAAAGGCTAGGAAGTTTTCAACTGCCTGGGACCAATTCTTTTTTCTTTTCCCCCCCACACAGGTAAAAAAAGTACCGAAAAAGCAGCCGTCCTCAGATCATTCGAAGAAATCAAGTCAAAAGGAGAAGCGAGGCCACGGAGACGAGAAGGCGTCTCGGAACAGGTGAGGGTCCACGCAGGGTTATTTAAGGTTGACACGGTTTTCCCCCCTCGAAATTCAGCTTAATTTTGGGTGGCAAGGAAGCAAAGGAAGTTTGTTCGCCCACAGGCCAGTTTCTCTACAGCATTTTTATCCAATTGCGTTGTGTGCTTTTACATTCCTTCCATCAATGTATGCATTTTCATACAAACTTTTCCCTAGCACAGAGTTCCCCAACAGAAACAAACTGCCAACTGTCCAGATGGCGAATCCAGGAAAAGGAACTCCTTGGAACATTATTTTACCTAATATAAAACTTTACTGAATAAATCCCTTTGGCACAGAAGAAGCAAAACCAGATCTGGGTTTCCCGCGCAAAAGCAGTTGTAGTTAATTCCCCCTTTTCCCTCCGGGCCACGCACAGTCCAAAATGTCCACCAATCTGTTTTGCTCATTTTGCTCAGTGTGTCCTTGAGATGACAGCAGTGTTGCACGGGGGCGGATGCTTGAATACCATTCTACTCTCCCCCCCGCATTCCATCCACCCCTCTCCCTGTTATTGGCAAGCTGCAAGTGAAGGCAAAATGTAGGTGAACGTGAATCAGGGTTGGCACAGACCATGAAGTGGGGTGGGGGGTGGGGTCTCCAACAATGCTCCGAGCTCTAAGCACATATGAGCGTTTATAAGCAGTATCCTGAATTACAGGAATCAAGCTTCCTATAATCTTCTCAGCTGTCCTTACCACTCTCTGTATGGACCTTCCATCCTGAATCATGGGAAGCGAGCTGCCTATAACCTTCTCAGCTGTCCTTACCACTCTCTGTATGGACCTTCCATCCTGAATCATGGGAAGCGAGCTTCCTATAATCTTCTCAGCTGTCCTCGCCACTCTCTATATGGACCTTCCATCCTGAATCACGGTAGCGAGCTTCCTATAACCTCAGCTGTTCTTACCACTCTCTGTATGGACCTTCCACTCTGAATCACGGAAGCGAGCTTCCTATAATCTTCTCAGCTGTCCTTACGACTCTCTGTAA